AATATGTGCCTACAAAACTGAGACAAAACAGTCTTCCCACTCAAATGAAAAATCACAAAATAAGAAATAAAATATCAATGTGCGAGAATCAAACCAACAAAAAACCGCCCTCTACCAGTGCCACGCCCCAGCAAAACCATTTATCCAAATAGGAAACAAATTAAGCAACAATAAAACAAAAACTAAATCATGAGTAGTCAACCTGCCAGCCAGCCCGATAGCATCGATTTAGCCTATGATATGTGGGCGGGCCAATTCGAATTCGTAGGACCCACAAATCAGCAAGGCAACAAAAATAACAACAACAACAGCAGCAATTTGAACAATAACAAGTGCAGAATCGGAGCGCAACAAAATCGAAAGCTGTCCACGGATAGTCTAGAGGATCTGAATCTGAGCTTTAACACGAGTGCCTCGCAAAATCCGCTGAGCAACGCCTACAGTTTGGGAGTCACTGGCGGTGCTGGGAGTGACTATAGTGGTTTTGGAAAACACCCGCCAATACTGATCGATCAGGAAACCTTCCTTAGCCTAAATCCAGCGGACTTTGAGGACATTGTGCCATCGAATTCGGAGCCAAACTCGCTGGTCTTCATCGAAAATAAGCTAGAGACGAACAACAATAGCATCGAATCGAACAACAATAATCATATCAACAATAATAATAATAATAACAGCAATAAGATCTACAACTTGGAGAATTTGACAAGTAAATTCAACAATAAAACTAATAATACAAACACAAACGGTTTTAAATTGGAGAACCTGAAGAATTTCAAGAACAAACTACTCTGTGATTTCGAGGACACCAACGCCGGCGGGGGAGGAGGAGGTGGAGGCAGTGGAGGATCAGGACCTGTTGGCATGATGAACGGGGCCCTCAGTGCCGAGATTTGCGACAATCTCAATGAGCAAGTAAGCAGTGTTCCACTAATTCCCCCGATTCCGTTGCTAGTTTCATCCAAAAGTTCAGGGTTCATTTGGGGGTGGCGACGCCCCCTCTCTTTTTTTTAGTTCGCATGTCACGACATCTAAGTAATATATAGTATATACGGCCTGTCAATAATGTCCAGGCCATTCACTATAAATAAGCAGCAATTGAATGTAATTTGCTTTAGTCTAACTTTGAATTGCCTTAGTTCAACTGTTTTGTTCGGTTCGGCGGTGGGAAATTTTGTTCCGATTTGACATTTTAATCAATTGCTACTGGAAGGCTTTGGCAGGAATAATATGTTGGAAACCAACGAAGTGAGTGGTTTATTTGCGTAAAAAATGTTGGGAATTGTTGCAACATTAAAATAAAAATGGTTAATATAAACAATGATGAAAAATTCGAAGCAACTACAATTATAAAACTAAAACAAAAATTCAAATATTAAGTTTTTTAAAACCATACAGTACTCACAGTTTTCTGATCCAAATGTTTCCACCTTTTTAGAAAATTGATGTTTATGCCAACTATGTTTACGATTTCCTTGACTTATTTACCTTTTTCAACGTCAAAACTGGGCCAATAATAAAATTTCAAAGTCGAAGAACTTGTTGTGTTTGCCATATAATTTGCCAGACATCTGCTAACTATAAACAAAAATATACTGTAGTTTGCGTCAAATGAGATCACCGGCCACAAATCATCAGTGAGAAAAGAAAGGAAAATCGAAAAAGATATTTTGAAAAATTGGTTGACGAAGCCAAAATTAATGATACAAAAAACTGTAACAAAATTGATGATTAGCCGTGAAGGGAAAATGTGTCAACGAAAGTAACAGAAGTGAGCTCATGTGGATGGAAAGAAAAGTAAGGAACGTTAATTTCTAAGGCGATTGCTCTAGTTTCAGGGCATTGAAAGAAAAGAATCTTCCATGAGCTATGGATGCAATTCCCAGCATTTTATGCAACCAATTATCTAGCTTATTATTCTCAGTGGGACTACAAATGGGAGCCCATAGATTCGAAATATCAGCCACTGCACTGGAGGTCAGCTCTTCGCTTCTGAAAAGCGATAAACCTCCGGCGGATGCTAGATTTGTTTACTATACTCGATCCACATAAACTAGTGGGGAAATCTCATTTGATAAATGAAACAATTGTAGGGCATTGTATCGCTGGCAGAGGAAACGGCGAGTGTGTTGCAAGTCAAGATTTTCTTTTTGGGGTCAAAGCTAATGCCGATTATAATGTCCGAATGCTTCCAGTTTTTTTCAATTGTTTTTCATTTCATTATTTACGAGCTGTTAACGAGAGAACTAAAGTGGTGAGATGTTGTAAAAATTGGTTTTTTGAGTAAATACAAAATTAAGTAAAGGTTTAAAAATCGAAACCCAAAAAAAGTTAGTTGTAAAATAATTTTAAATAATTTTATTTACTTGTTCATGCAATAAGAAATGTGATGTTTTTGATATTTTTAGGAAAGTCAAACCAATTAGCTTTTAATCTTTTTAACCTATTACACTTTTTTCCTTGTAAAAATTGTAAGTCCCTTGTAAGCACTTCAACGTTTGTCACCTTGTTCTTTTCTTGATTTATTTTCTTAATTTTTTCCCATTTTTGGGGCAACCTTCACGGCGGCCAAAACATCTGTTGCGTATTTCCGCACTCTCCATTACAAATTTCCCATCATTCAGTCGCACCTGTCGTGCCATCAACTTGTCAAAACGAGACTGGAAAAATCAAAGGCCCTTAAAGAGGCCGAGGGGCATTAATGACCTCGGGAACACCTTTTTCAGGCAGAAGAAAGAGGAAAGTGACGAGCTTAAGTAAAGCACATTTAAAGAAACCGTAGCCCGACAACTTATTTTTACCCACCAATTGTAGAGTACATTATGCTGGGGTATATTATGTTCTTTATGACGTACATAAAAGGGAGAGTTCGTAAAATATATACATATCTTCCAAAAATGATCAGATAATAACAAATATTTGAAGCCGATAAAATGTAATTTTCTTACTTTTTTTTTCGATATTCACTAAAATATAAAGAGATTTTAGGTAATGTTTATAATATTGGCTGTACTTATTTACAAAGATCAGGATGCTGCCAACAAGTACGCAGTTGTTTTACCGATAGAAATACAGGGTATATTGTTATTCTGATGCCTTTTTCTATATAAAACTTCTCGTCACTTGTTACTCAATTTGTCTTACACTTTTATTGTTTTCTCTTTATGCCCCTAGCAACATTTTATTTTTATGACTTTTTCGCTGTTGTTGCTTTCGTTCTGACCAAACGGTTTCTGAATGAGACGCGACTTCAATTTTCGCTGCTATTTTTCTTCTTCTTGGTCTTTCCGTACTTTTTTTCGTAAGAATTCGGTAGACATTTAATTTAAATTCTAGTTTCTATATAATATGCTTAGTTTTTTTTGGCATGGTTCATTGTACACATACCAAGCCCCTAATTGAGACCCCTGCTATATCGTACTTTTTCGGTTGACTCAGCGAGCTTATTCTTCTCTCAGAACATTTCTCACTCTCTGAATATTTCTCCATTTCTATGGCACTCTGTTGTTTGTTTTTGGTGGGCCCTAGGCCCATTTTTCAGTACTAGCCGCGCCGCCTTTGCCGTCGATTGTGTGTCCGTGTATCCATAGTTCAGCAGTGCTCTCATCTCGATCGAAAATATAGTGCCGTACTCTCTCTGTAAATCTAGCGAAAATGGTCAACAGCGAATTGTTGCCAGCAAATTGCATTTAATTAAGTCTAATTGAACCCTATGCCGCACAGTTTGAGAGTCATTGAGTGCCAACGCCAAATAAAAGCTGCTTGTAACTGCTAATTGAACTTCTCAATTGACATTTGTGATGGTATTACGTTTAGGGGGGTTGTCGAGGGTGTATTCAGGTAGAGGTGATTAAATTTAATTAGCAGGATTCCCACTGTGTTGACCATTATTAGCTGGATTTTATGCAGACATACAACGAAATGTGGGGAAGAGAAAATCATTTTAATTTTTTGTAATATTAATATTAATAAATCTTTTTAATTTTTTTGTCTTTATTTATTTTTATACAAATACAAATTAATACAAAATTCTTTTTTTTCATTTTTTAAAAGTATTATAAAATGTATAACGCATATAATTTTGTGGTATATATATAAAAACTATTTATTTAAAATCCAAAAGTTACCCTGTGCTAGCTTGTTTGATAACAAAGCTCGTCGACATCCTGTACTGCAGTCATCTTGCAAATTTCTTATCACCTCAAGCGGCAGGCAAACAACTCATGTTCAAATCATCTGTTTTTATTTTCCCTATACGTTTTTGAATGCGCGGGCGGGTCATGAGTAATTGCGCAAGAAGCAGCAGCCTGCAAATCTTTAATGGCGAAAACAGATTTTTGCACATGCCAGCAAATAGTTGGCCAAAACTTGAATGCAAAACACCAACAAAGTGTGTGTGCGTCTCTTTTTACGCCTTCTGCTTATGAGTTGGCCTATGGGGCGTATGCTTAATATTTATGAGATTCATACGGGCAAGGCATGCCAATAACACTGGGCAACCAAAGTGGGATGGCAGATGTGTAGGAAAGGCATTAAAAGTGCTTCTCGAGGGGAATGTTTTTTTAAAAAGTTTCGTTTTAAGGCATAAGTTTCGTTATCAACATATTGTTGGCCTGTGTTGACTGGTGTAATTAACAGCATTTTCACAGAGTTGTCGTTGTCGCTTCGGAAAAATATAAACGAACTGCCGACAGTCTGAATCGACCATCAAGTGAGCAAAGACTTCGCGGCGATGCAAAAATAATTTGAATTTTTCTTGAGCCTTCAAGAGATGAGCATTCCTAAATAATGTGAAAAAGATATATAAACAAATCTATAAACACTTGCACACCATATAGATATAGGCAAATGTATGTGAAATATCCCATGGCTGATGTGCAGTTGGTGAACGATCTGCTCCTCGATCTGCGGCACATGAAAAACGATTGTGTTAGTCGATACACGAACCTCTGTATTCGAATATAGACTTATCAGTCCTCTCTCTCCTTATATATTTACAGCTGGAACTGCTGCAGCGCAAGGTGGACGATCTGTCGGATACGCAGAACATAGCTGAAGATCGGACCACTCGCACCAAGACCGAATATGCTGTGCTCCAGGCCCGATATCACATGCTCGAGGAGCAGTACCGAGAGGTTAGTATGAAAACATATTTAGTATTACAATTTACAATTCTAATTTATTAAGATCAAATGCATTATGGGTAATAATGTTCCCTTTTAAGTAATCAAAGAGTTATCTTTCCAAATCACTTAAAAACTATAGAACTTATACATGTGGACCTTATGTTTTTTTGTATTAAAAAAAAGAGTTTTAATATTAATATACATATATTAATATATATATATATTAATATATTTTTTTATTCGTATCATTCGCTTCATGGATGTTGAATCTAATGTATTCCTTTCCCTTCCAGTCGGAACTGCGTGCCGAAGAGCGTTTGGCCGAGGAGCAGAAGCGGCACCGCGAGATCCTGGCTCGAGTGGAGCGCGAAGCATCGCTGCAGAACGAGAACTGCCAGATGAAGATCCGGGCCACCGAGATCGAGGCATCGGCACTGCGTGAGGAGGCCACTCGATTGCGTGTCCTGTGCGACAAGCAGGCCAACGACCTTCATCGCACCGAGGAGGAACTTGAGCTGGCCCGCGACCAAATTAGCGTTCTGCAGCAGGAGCACGAGGAGCAGGCGCAGGCTTTGCGTCGCCAGGAGCAGGAGAAAAAGAACGCCGAGGATCTGATGGTGGAGCTGGGCAGTGAGCTGCAGCGGGCCCGCGAGGAGAGTGGAGCCCGGGCGATGCCAACCACATCGCCGGAGAGCATAAGACTGGAGGAGCTGCACCAGGAGCTCGAGGAGATGCGCCAAAAGAATCGATGTAAGTGGGAAAGTTGAGGTTCTGCTAGGAAAATTATCACTGGTGTTTCATATTCCTTGAAGTAGTTCATTGTAATTTCTATTCGATTTACCCCTAATAATAACCAGTTTAAAGAAAAAGAATTTAGTTGTAATATTAAATAATGCAATTTTTTGTGGGGTAATGCCTAGAGAACTTAATTTCCATTTTACAAAATTACCTCGATCGATCTATTTAAAACTTGAGTTCCTTTAAATATTTTAAAATAAATTCGAGTAGCTTCTTGATATCCAAATAATATTGAATTATTGAAGTTCCTTTGTGAAAAATGCTTAGAATAATTTTTGAATTATTATATTTATTAAATACCTTCAATCAATGCTTGATCAAACCAAGCTAATCATTTTGTTTTTTTTCTACAGCACTCGAAGAACAGAACGAGGAGCTTCAGGCCACGATGCTGACCAACCAGGCCACCATGCTGACGAATGGCGTGGAGCAGGGTCGCCATCTGCTGAACGGAACCCTGAATAGTTTGGCCCAGGAGCTGGAGGAGATGTCACAAGCCCAGGTGTGTATTTTGAGTCCAGCTGTAACGTCGCCTGCTTCCGCTTTTAGTGTAGTCCAATCCGTCATCCCCACACCCACAAAAACACAGTCTAGAAGCCAAGTCCAAAAGCACACGCACAGTCACCGCAAAAGAAAAACTGATGAAAATGATATTAAAAACCTACAGTTTGAAAGCCTCCTAGTGTCCGTATTGCCCTGCGTTTACTATGAAATATATTTTTTATCTGCCCACATGTGTATTTAAATTGACATTTATTGTATTACAGGATTCTGTGGATTCAGCCACATTAGCATCCTTAAGTCAGGTAATGCTTCAATCACGCAAAAGCCACAATTAAAAAGAACAAATAATAAAACACGGTTTTGGAGCCACTGTGCACGCATTGCAGTTTGACTTAAACTAAATTCGACTTAAAATTAATGTTGGTTCATGGTTATCTAATTTATCAAACTCATTACGGACAAACTTTCATCTGGTCAACTATCTAACATTCATATGTGTATATAAAAACCAAAAAAACTGTTTCTTTTCAATGTTATTCGTGTTAACTAAGAATGAAACTAATGAAACCCTATGTATTCCAGCTGCAACAGGCCTTCCAGGAAAAGGAGGACGAGAATGTTCGACTCAAGCACTACATCGATACCATTCTACTCAACATCGTGGAGAACTATCCTCAATTACTGGAGGTTAAGCCCATGGAGCGAAAGTAAAGCAGCCAACCGGAAGAAAAAACCAATCCCTAGGCACTCGATAGAGTACCACAACCACCTAACATCAACTAAAATGAATAAACTAACTGAACTTTACTTTATGTTAACTTTTTAAGCTACACTCTATACATGTATTTATGCCTAACTTAAGTCGTAATTTATTTTATAACAATTTAATGTAGATTTTTAAACCAAAACAACACAGAGAACACAAAGATTGCATGTCAAAATGATGAGAAAGTCCTTAATTCGATTAGAGAATGTTTTGTATAAAGAGAGTCTAAAATTGTGTAAAAGTTTATTTTCCTTCGTTTCTAGTTTGAGTTTTGTATAGTACGTGTTGTTGATCCCTAAAGATATTACTTATAAATATTGTTAGATCCTAAGTCTAAAAAACTGGTTTAATCTTAAATGAAATGCAACCCGATAATTTATTGATAATTGCTGGAAAATCTGATTGCAAATATGTGTATGCATGAAATGAGATTTTATAAAGTGTTAACGTTTGATAGGAGATACTTTCCAATTTTGTTCTGGGGCAGCTAAGAAGGTTTGTGCTAGGAGAAATTTCTATATTTCATATCTGTTTTATATCCTTTCTCAACTTCGTGTAGACTTTTTTAAATTAAATTGCACTTCCAGAGAAGATATTACTTAGTTTGCCCCGAAAGCAGTTACAAGAATCGATCAAAAAATTTGCGTTTATGGTATGGACAATCCCAGGATATGAAGACGTAGTTTGGTTTGAAGTGGATCTGAAAGAAAGCAATTATCACTGGTAGGAGTTATTCAATTGAGAAGTTATATCTTAACCCACAAACATATGTCAATGTATAGCACAGTTAAAACTAATCTTACTCTGCATATATAACCCAACATAAAATGGACATAATGTGCAAACATTTAGGGATAGCACATGAAAAGGTGTCACCTAGAAGCTCCAAACGAAAGCGATCCCTAATAGTCTAAGCAACAGAACAACTCAAGCGGTCAACACTAAAATAGTTAAAATAATATCCAAGAAAACTCAAGAATCGATGTGAAATCGTTAATCAAAATTTAATTGCCTTAAATTGGAAGTTTTTAAAGTGTGTTAAGAGCTAGATAACTCTAACAAAAAAGTCCAAGCGTTTAATGCATACTGAATAGTGTGGAATTTTAAATGTAATTTACCAGATGCAAGTCGCTGAATTTGTATCAAAATAAAAAGAAGAATATTTTATAAACAAAGACTCGCCTTTTTTGACTGGGCGAAAACCAAAGCGATGCTAATTGGCGAAACCCGTTCAAAGACAATGCACATAAATGCTTAATTTATTAAGGAAGCTCGATGCGGAGAACTGGTTTTGTTCCCAGGAACGGTTGCGTAAGATCTTTTGAGTTGGAACTCCTTATATAAGCCGGGTTATGGAGCAGTCAAGGACAGAGAAGACATTGGAGTTAAAGTTGCAAGATGTTTAAGCCGTGTTATTCCTTGGCCGCAGGTGGGCTTCTGAATATCCTTATCGAATGGAACACAGGAATGACTCTTTATATATTTTCCAGTGCTGCTGTGTTTCGTCTTCACCACAGGGCAGGTTGTGCCAAATTCAGAAATCGGTAGGATTACCATCCAAGTGCCGTTGCTGTCCAATGGAAAGCCCGTGATCGTGGCCAATCAGGATAGGGAAGAAGTGGCCACCGTGGAGGAGATCAAGCCGGGAAAGGTTCATGTCGTCCAGGAGGTGGTGGTGCCACCTACAGTGAAGTCGGATAACAAAGTCCGTATGACCAGATCTGTCTCAAATTCCGGACAATATAATCATGGAATTACGAATCGAGGAATACCTAATGACGGTATCCCTAATCCTGGTATTCCCAACCATGGTATTCCGAATCCTGGCATCCCCAATCACGGAATCCCAAATCGAGGAATACCTAATGATGGTATCCCCAATCCTGGTATTCCCAACCATGGTATTCCGAATCCTGGCATCCCCAATCACGGAATCCCAAATCCAGGAATACCTAATGATGGTATTCCCAATCCTGGTATTCCCAACCATGGTATTCCGAATCCTGGCATCCCCAATCACGGAATCCCAAATCGAGGAATTCCCAATGATGGTATTCCCAATCCTGGTATTCCCAACCATGGTATTCCGAATCCTGGCATCCCCAATCACGGAACTCCCAATCCTGGCATCCCCAATCCCGATGCCTCCGAACTTATGCCGGTCGTTGTAATGCCCCCAAGTCAAACCACCGACTCACCCGCATCACCATCGGCTCCCAAGCGAGTGCCAACTAGGAACTGCTTCCACCTTTTGATGGGAGGCATGACAACCCAGTCCCCAGGGAATATGATGACAATGACGCCGCCAACGATGGAGAACTGCGATGAGCTGTGCACCAAGCTCGAATACTTGCCTATTTGTGCCCACAACGGGATCTGCGTCCATGAGTTTGCCAATCAGTGCGTGATGGACACCTTCAATTGCAAACACCGGGATTTGAGCTTCCGAGCCGTGGACGAGGATGTATGCAGACTGGGAGTTTGTATGAGGCGATGCAAGGAGGACGAATTAAAGCTGTAAAATACCCTATTATACGAGTTAAATAAGTTTTAAATCAAAACACTATTCAAATAAAATATAATAAATAATTTCATATATTCTAAATGACCAATATTTTGATTATAATAAATAAATAAATAATAATAAATAATAGGTATACCTATTTGATTATTTTCTTCAATAAGAAACTTTGAATAATAGATAGGGAATGGAGCTGCAGCAGGGGTTTTGCATCTGAAAAAATAATACAAATAGGGCCAAATGGAATAAATAAGTGTGTCACAGAAACCGTTAACCCGTTTTGTTAGAGTTTTGCAGTAAAGTTTCTCTTATTTAAGGAAAATTTGTTTCAAAGCCTATTACTATTTGGTTGGTTATAAATCGTCTACTTAATTTGGAACGGATTCTGTGCCACCGAAATATGTATTTTAGGGTAAGTTTAGTTGGAAGAGATTTCTGAAAATTCTAAAAATTTACAAAAAGGGCTAGAAGCGGATGAAACGACTGATGCTGATCAAATATATAAATACTTTATTATCTGGTAAAAAAAAGTATCCTTCCTTGCGTTTAAAACTTCTGGCTGTAGTTATAATACTCTCTGTAAGGCTATAATAGCTTTCAGTGGGCCAAAACCAAGAAATTTTGTTGATGCAAAGCATATAGCTGTCCGAAGAGGTCCGTTTTCAAACGGTATCTACGTGCGCATAAATATTTCATGGGGTTTGGGAAAGTTACAAATTGAAAGCTTTTTTTAAGAAATCCCGAAATCTCTTTTTTATTTTTAAAAGTACAGCCCAAACATGTAACAAGAATAAAGTTCATCTCGTTTAAAGGAGTTTTATTTAAATTTTCTTTCACAACCTATCAACCGGAACCCACTTCACAAGCCGAATTCCCTGAGATCTGACTCCATGCAAAGCGGCTGCCAATCCTGCATGCACCGATGATCTTCCACCGTCTTGAACATTTTCTGGGGATTGCGGCAGTTGTAGGCTGTCATGGCACAGCGGCTCTCAAACTTCAGAAGGCATTGTCCGTTGGTGGCGCATACAGAAGGATCCTTTTCGGCACAAAAATAGTCACATTTATCCTCGACTTCATCGGCGTAAACCCTTTTCCCATGCTGATCAATGCTTAAATTGTTGCTATTTGAAGCGGGTACCACTTTGGCGGCAGTTAAGGCAATGCAAGCTATACAAAAATGATTTTGTTATAATTAATTAATTATTCGTTTGGTTTACAAAAAAAAACGAACCCAGAAAGAATAACGACAGCAGCTTCATTGTTGGTTTGCGATGTAATTTCGGCTGAAACTGTTTATGTTGATTTTTGATGCGTTTACCTTGCCGTGTTTGCGGCAACTGTAAAACTGTTGAATTTGCCAACGACTGCCCACGATTTTATATACCCAACAGATTTCTGCTGATAAAAGCTTTTGGTTTTTGCTGCCGATGCTGCGGTCTGTCCTTCCTGATTCCCTGCATAATCCCTTATTTTAACACCTGCCAGAGATATTAAATTGCATCATCATCAGCGGCATCAACAGCTTTGTCTGTCATTTTTATTCTTATCTGGCTTGTAATTAAACGGCCAGCCTGGCTAAAAATAAAAGTCTGAAATGCCAAATTTGCATACTTATTCACTGAGCAGAAAAACCCGATCTAAATTCAAGAACAAAATTCTTAGTTTAAGACCGAAGTTATAAAATGGATGTCTTGAATTAAGCAAATTTTTATTTAAATATAGAATTTTTTTAGCGATAATGATTTAAATTTGTAAACTCAAGATTTATGATTGAAAACAATTTTTTTCACTGTATTTGCCGCCTAAAAGTATGCTTTGAATTGTGTTCAGCTTTTATTAGTTCTGGAAAATTCCGCGTGGTTATGTGACGGCGCTAAAGACTTTGTTGCAAAATTAAATATTATACTATCCAAATCTGTATTATGAATAAATCTGCTTAAACTTTAACCACTTTTTAGACGAGTAGGCCAAATAATTCTCTCAGCTGCTCGAGGTTGAAAGTAACTTAATACCAAAAAAAAAACAAAAAACTTTAAAAACATTTCTTGACTATCGCAATTAAGAAATTTATACTTGATGTAGTGAGATGTTTGCACATTAAAAGGAAAATAGATAGTTAAAAAAATAGTTCATCTGTTTATTACATTTAAAAAAAAACCCATTTACTTCAATATAAATAAAATAAGTATAAATAAATACCTACATATTCAAATTAAATTGATTTGTTTGTGCATATTATATTTTTTGGCACCTTAAATAATTAGACATAATTTGTGGACACTCCAAATATATCTCATAATTTTCCGTTTTTAAAATGCCACTTCCAGACATGATGTTCCATAAGGAAACGATTAAAGCTGTATGTGAGAGATATTCCCAGCTGAAAGACAAGTATTTCTCATCCCCTTCCCCACCACCTTCAAAAGCGGGAATCTCAGCTCACTGGTCCGTTCAAGCGCAACCGAAAACCTGTTAGCATCTCGTGTGCTGAGAATTTACATAAAAACCAAATAATAACATGAGCAAATATTATTAAACAAATCGTTTGCAAGGCTGGTGACGTTTAAGGGAGCCCGAAAAGCCTTTATAAAGTGCCAACATTTTTCGAAAGAACCACAGAACGCCTTTGAGTGTCGAAAAGGAACGCAAGTGTGGATTATCAGACAAATATGAAAGTCATTTTGGTTTTAGGTGAGTTGAAGTAGACTTTTAAACTTAATTTAAAAAACGGCGAAAGTCATAGCTCCTTCTGGATAATAAAAAATAACCTATTCAAGAGATAAAAAGCAAATCTTGATAGCAAATCTTTGGTATTTTCAGCCATCCTGTCGCTGGGACAAGCCGCAGAGTTGCCCCAGACCACAGAAGCCGCAACTGCAGCCACAACGGGGAAACCCCGGCCAACGGAGCTGCCCATTCACATCCAGAACCTGATAACCAGCCACATCAATCATGTACTCCAGCATATTAAGAACAAACCTCAGGACTCGAACACATTGAGTGGACCGGTGGACTGGAATGGGAGTGGGAGTGGGAGCGGGGCGCCAGTGGTCAAGCCCCATCCAGATCTCCTTCCACCACTGGCACACACTGGTGATGTCCTTGCCACTCCCTCTGCCGACATCCCAACGCCTGCACCTCCGCTGCAATCTGGCCTACAGCCGGTGCAAGCTGGCAGTCCACAGGTGAGGATTACCAATCACCAGGCCACCGGTACGCTGATCCATCAAGGAAGACCGGTGGTGCAGAACAAGGTGGTGATGCCGCCGGTGGACCAAGTGGTCCTCTCGCTGCCTGGCCAAGAACCCATCAATGTGGCCGAAAAGCTTAACAAACTGCAACAGCATGTGACCAAGGTGATGCAACAGGCTGAGAAGCATATTCCTTTGGCTGTGAACCAGGCCATTAAGCAAAAGAAGGAACAGGAGGCTCAGAGGGAGAAGGAAATTAACAAGGAGGATGAAGAGGATCATAAGGACCCCGAGCCTTCTGAAACAACACCCCAGCCAAACGGATCCAAAGCAGGTCGCTCTCTGGTAATTCCCGAAAAGGTATCCAATATCGTCAACCAAGTCCACGCCCACATTCCCCAACTGATTGCCCAATATAAGGAGGAAATTAAACTGGGAAAATGCAACTTTGAGTGTCCCAAAGCCTCTCTATCCATATGTGCCAGCAACGGCAAATGTGTGGTCAACTTTCCGGGACAATGTGAGCTGAGCCAGTGGAACTGCTTCAACATCAAGAATGGTAATGGTTATTTGACTCCTCTAAATGACTTATATTTAACAATCGTATTTCTTATTGCAGTTTTCCATCAGGTTCACGATTCCGAGTGCCAAAACACCATTACTTGTTATAAGAGGGATATGATGTAAGCGATTCCTACGGGAGTCTAAGAAATTGTCTCAGCGAATTTTCATAACATTCCATTAAAAACATGTATAACTTAACATTTAATTCGAAATAAACATACTTATAAAAGTGATCAATGTTGTATATTTAAAATCATTATTTTACTTATAATTCATACAAAAACTTTCCCACTACAAAACAATTATTTAAAAATAGACGGCAAACAAGTCAAAACAACCAAAAATTTATTTAGATAACATAAATAAATAGTTTCTAAAAGTTTAGAGAACTTTTTGTGTAAATTTTATTGACTTTTTAAGTGCCATCTCTTTTTCAAAATAAAATTTTTTAACATTTAAAAATTTTTTTTTTTATTTTCCCTAAGAAATAAATGTTTTTTTAATTCTTATTTTAAAACGAACAGACTAAGCTTTCGATCGGTTCCTACCATAACAAATAAAAGGTGTACCAACCTACAGACCTCTCCCATAAAAATTGTAAATATAAAACAGTTACAATAATACATTTTATTCTAAAAATCGAAGCATGAAATTACTAAAATGGCCATTCTTCATAATCATTGCTATTGCTCATTCGTTTTTCCCGACAATTCCCGTAGCCATATCCGTTTTTCACGCCATTTTCCGTATCTGCCAAGAAGTTGTTTGCTTGACATTTTATCTTCACTTTCGCCACACTTTCACAATTGGCGGGAACTCGCTGGGATGTCGATGTCCCATCTGCTCCTGGCAAGCAAACGATTGCGCGGCAATCATCCAATTTGTCAAAATGGCTTATTAACGGATTTGGTTAAGAGCCGCACGACGAGCGTAGCGGAGTTGGCTCAAATAAATGCCATTATCATTGATTTGCCAATACAAATGCCACAAAACCGACAGCGCCAAGGGAATGGGGATAGCTTGGCTTTCCAGATTGGAGCGTGGCCAAATGTGGAATCGACAGCTGGGTACCGACTTGGCCAACATTTTTGCTGGGGCTTATCACTGAAATGTTGCCACATGTAGCCGAGCGACGATGGTAAGCAGGATTCCCGAATCGAAGCTTGGACCCGTTTCGAATGTCAGACCTCCTGGCGATAACTGGCTGCAAATGGTCTATGCAAATTGCAGCTCCGACCAATTAAAAAGCACTTCTGGTCAGCTAACGGAGTTCAAGGGAAGTTCACAAATGGCTTTTGGGATTTTTGTTAGTTCTCCCCGTTTTTGTTGTTATCTCAGAAAAAGATTGCTATCTCGTTGTGGGCACCTATCAATTCCTCCAACCTATATTTTACATATGCCCAATGCATCCAACATGGTAGGTTTGGCCAAGACTAAGGCCCCATCCTCAACTTTTAACTATTCGCTGTAGCATGCGAAATCTACGACATCTATTCGCCTTTTGGGGCCCATAAATTTTCCACTTTTTCATCCGCAATCCCCCGGGAGATCTTCTGAGTGCAGAGACTCCTTTTGCTGGATTCTCCGCCGTGTTCTACAAATGTTTGACTTAGTTTCGCCCCATCTGGCTGCCTGCTGCGTGTCTGGACTGCTTTGCTCTGTTTTTGGCCAGGTCCGCAGTGCCACGCATGCGTCTTGGCCATTATGTGCCCCATCCTCCGCCGAATTCCCCTACATTTCGCACAGCAGCGCACAAAAAAAATCCGTTAACTCTGCCGCTCGCTTATCTTAGCCAAATGCTTTGGTTTGGCTCTGGCTTAGCCACGTTTACTGCTCCCCAATGCACTGTGCCAAAAATCTTAGGCAACTTTACGAAATAAAAATCCGTTTTAATTGTATGTCTCAGAATAAAAATTGCCAGTTAGGAATATTGAGGATAAATTCCCCCTCCACTTAAGTGAAAAGTAAAAAAAATGTGGCTTTCAAAAAGTGTGCAACCAAAAAATTTGTTTAAAATATAAAAGATGTCCATACAAATATTAAGTTTTCTGAGTATGTTAAGAACTCACTTCTGATTGCCTTTTATTTTTTGTATTCCCAAATTTGTGTTTTTCATACACAATTTTTTACAGTGTGTGTAGGCTGTCTCTGGTTAATGCCAAATGCGTGAGCTGTGGGCCGTGCCGCATTTGATGGCTTGGATAGCCTCGACTTCAGCCTTCCAGCTTCTGCTGGTGATTCTGCTCCTTTGGTTGGCTGCAGAGCAGAGCGGAAATGCAATTAACACTTTGGGCCGTAATTGCGTGCCAAATGCATTTCGTTGGCTCTGTTGGCAGTCCACATTGGCAATGGGCAGAGGAAGATCGGAGAATCGGAGGACTGGAGGGAGAAACAGGAATATATGCTCCTACAAGCTGTCTTGTTTTGATTTGCTTGGCTCATTTGCAAGAAATGTGCCCATAAATCAATTTGGAAATGCTCGTTGACTACTGTCCGCTCTGAAATACTCCCTGCAGAGACCATTCTCCTGGCTTCACTTTTAGGGTTTTTTGAAGGTGGCTGCTTTGGATGCTTTACAGTTTCGGAAAAGTTACAATTTTTCAGGTTCGTTAAACATTTCTGGCGAGTTTAAGGGGCACTTGCTAGAAATTCCGGCTAACAGTTGTAGCTTTAAAGTTCTACTATATTTTTACAGAATATGTAGAATCGATCTTCTGTGGAAATAATCCAAAGATTTATTGATTATTTTTCTGCGAGATTTATAGATTATTTGTCTGCAAGAAAAAACGAATATTTATGATGGGACTCACATTTTTTTCAATTGAATTGCATTATACATGAGTTATGGCATTGAAGAAGATACGTTATTCATTGGCTGCAACCAAGAATGGCGACTTGCATTTCTTATTGCCCCTATTTAATTCCTAACTTGATCCTTTTTCAGCTCTATAATTTCGCTTTCATTTTACGTTCTACGAACCATAAATTGGCTCCTTAACTTGTTTTATTCTCGACCAATTATCCGCGATTTCCACACAAATGCCCACCAATTTGGTAATTCCTGGTGGGAATGACTGGCCGCAGCATTTCCTGTTCTCCGTTTCTCCCACATTAAATGCTCGCCTTAACTTTGTTTTTCATTTAAGTGAAATTAATTGAGTAATTTGATGCGAAATGTTTGCGACACGCAGAGGAAAAGGCGGAAAAAGTGGGAAAAAATGAAAACAATTCTACAAACAGGACTGAAGAGGGGAGGTGGGTGGTGGATGAGGCGGGGCGGTGGGCAGATAGGGAAGTGCGGCAGATGCAGATTATAAAATGCCCGCCAGCCAGAGCAGTTGAACCGGACTGAAAAGGAGGCCAGGCAACAAAATTTAATATAAACCATATTAACTTTGATGGCAAATGGCCGTGGGGCGCAATGGTGGGGAGGGGGGATGGGGAATAATCGGGGGCGGTCTCCGGGGGGAGGGGCCGTTCTGGGCCCAGTCCGACAACACATGTTTGATGATGATGCGCGCTTTTGAAGTCGCTGGCAGTTAGGACCAACGTGGGTTCCAACCGCCTGACAACCGTTTAAAAAGGTTTTATTTACACCGAAGACAGCGGCTGGAGCGGGACGGCAATAGGCGGCCAGAGGGAGACAGGTAGCCCGAGAATCAGTCTTGGCCTGCTCCAATGTGCAGCGCAATTAAGTTGCCAACAACTTTGAAATTATGCAATTATGGGTATGAGAAATTGCCTGGAAATTACACGAGGGACTTGACGAACAGCAGCGGCCAAGAAGAGCAAGAGCACTAAGAAAAAAACTGAATTAAATAATGGCTTTGAATTTTGAACTAAAGATGTATTTTCTTGAGATATTTAAACTTTGCACCTTAAATTAAAACAGTCAGCTTTCGTCTACTGCAAGTTTCATTTGTTTTACTCATAATAATTTAAAAAATAAAGAATTTTAAAAAATTTATTATCATTAATTTTTTGTTTTATTAACATTGTGTAAACAAAAAGAAATTTAAAATATATATATATAAATATATATAAATTAAATAACCTTAAAATGTGTTTTTGCAATATATTATTGTATTATGTTTTGCAATATTAAAAATTTTATTAAATAACCAACATTTTTTCCGAGTGCCGGAGCAGCTACACTCATAGAAATTTTTACCCTAAATCGCCCTAAAAAACTGACTTTTCGCCCGTGGATTTAGAAAATCGCCCATAAATCGTATCCGCTGGCGATTCGCCCGTGTATTTAGAAAAATTTTCTAAAAAATCCCGATGGAAATTTGGTTTAATTTACGGTGATTTTTCTTGAAATAAGAAATATTTTCCTGTTTTTAGGGTGATTTGCCCTAATTTTAAGGTGTATTTTTCTAAAATTAAGGGCGAATTTTCTGTTTTTATAGGCAAATGCCCTAAAAAATTAGACAAATTAAAAAAAATCGTGTTTGAGCATGCTTAACTGAATTTGGGAAGCATGTTTTTTTTTAATCGTCTATATTCTGGGAACTGGGACTGCTTTAATTAAACAACACCGGCGGAGGACACCGTTTCATATTATTGTATTGGTGTGTAGTTTATATGGGAGCCGGGTTAAGAGGGGGGCCCGATCTATACAGCACAGCCGTTAGAACTGAAAAATCATGTTTGTAAATGAATTAGGGAAATAAATATGAGGAGAAAAAACAACTTACTTTTTTTGGTCATTGCGAGAATCGAACCCACGACCTCTCGGTTTAGAGTCTAACGTTCTACCGCTGCACCACAGACCCATCGCGCAAGACGACGAACAAACTCTGCACACATCTTATTTTCTTGAGGTCTACGTTATAATATGACTAAAGGCAACTAATCCGTATATTTATACCCTTGCAGAGGGTATTATGATTTCAGTCAGAAGTTTGCAACGCAGTGAAGGAGACGTTTCCGACCCCATAAAGTATATATATTCTTGATCAGCATCACTAGACGAGTCGATCTAGCCATGTCCGTCTGTCCGTCTGTCCGTCCGTCTGTCCGTCTGTCCGTCTGTCCGTCCGTTTCTACGCAAACTAGTCTCTCAGTTTTAAAGCTATCGGGATGAAACTTTCGTAAAAGTCGTATTTCTATTGCAGGTAGTATATATGTCGGAACCAAACGGATCGGACAACTATATCTT